AGTTCACAGGAGACACTAGGGATGAGCACCAGCTTGGGAGTCCCCTCACCCCATTCATATACCTGCCGTTTGATCTAAAGTCAGTTCTGCCTCCCCTTACCTCATCTGCAGAGGGGAGGTTCTCACCTGTTGCTGTGACAGTCAGTTGAGGCAAGAGGTGAGGTTTGGCTCTGTGAGCTGCAGCAGGGCAGGGCGGTCCCAAGGAGTCCTGAGTGTGAGACACCACCCTGCCATCTGCCCTCCCTGGGCTTGCATGCGCAGGGGACCTCCCAGGCTTCCTGTCCAGTCTCCAAACAATACCTACTGAGTTACCAGTTCTGCCCATTCAGGGGGTTGAACTGGGTCATCTCCAAAGTCCCTTCATTTTCTACCCCGTGAGCTTATGATTCTGGTTAGTGCTCACCGCCCAGGGACTGCTGCAGCCGCTCTGCTTTCTAGCTGGGATAACAATTCTAGCCCCCATTTACTTGGTGCCTACTGAGTCCCAGGTGCCCTTTGTGCATTATCTGCTGTCTTCACAGCAAGCCTGGGAGGGAGGGAGGGGTTCATCCACATTTTACAGTTGACAACATTGAGGCTCAGAGAAGGTAAACAACAGGCCCAGGGTCCCCAGGCAGTTCTCAGCAGATCCAGATTCAAATCCAGGCATCAGGCCCCGGTTCCTCTCACTAACGTTGTTGCTGCATTCTTTGAACCCTCCCTCCTCCTGCCTCCCTCTGCCCCTCACCTGCTGTTGGAACAGGATGGAACCACTCACCAAAGACCCCTTTTCCCGTACTTGAAAGACCTGACCATGTCACACAGACAGGCAGTCACCTGCAGATTTGGACTGCTGTTAGAAATAATGATAGTTCCTATTTTTGAAGCATCCGCTTGGTTTGGATATGAGGTGTCCTCAGAAGCTCCTGTGTTAATGCAGGAATATTCAGAGGTGAGATGGTTAGGTTATGAGAGCCGTATCCTAATCGGTCCATCCTAGTTTGACTGAGTGGTAACTGTAGACGGGACATGGTTGGAGGAGGTGGGTCACTGGGGTTGTGTCCTGGAAAGCCGAAGGGCTTTGGGCCAGCCCCCTTTCACAGATAAGCACCCTGCAGGCTGGAGAGGTGGGTGATTCACTCAAGGTCCCATGCTGGTGGGTGGAGTCCAGACCCCTAGGCCAGGAACTGTGAAATGCTATATTCCGTTTTCTGTCTGCATACCCCTGCCTTACCCTGTGAGATTCAGCACCTCCTTTCTGCCTTCTTTACCATTCTAGATGACTCCAACCCCTGCCTAATTGTGTGCAAGCTTCTGTCACTGTGCATCGACACACTTGCCTCCCCAGCTAGCACCTCCAAGACAGGGAAAGTGGCTTCTGTCCCCCAAAACTCTTTCAGCAGATAATAACTCCAAATACTATCATTTTGCTCCAGCTTTCTCCTCAATAACCTGCATCATAAAAGCCAGAACTTGGGGACCCGCTGCCTGGTAGCATGTGGAAGAAGCAGCCAGTCCCAAGGCAGTGTTCACAGTCTGCCTGCAGGAGATTTTTCATAGCTTCTTTCCTGGGACCATAGCAGCCAGGAGGAGCTTGGGGCATGGCCACTGGGTACATCTGGGTCCTGGCACTGTCTGCCTGCAGTCTCTCTGCTCTGGGTCTCTTTGCCCTTCCTGTCTCTGAGTAAGATCAGGAGGCTCTGGGAGCCTGACTTACTACTCTCCCTTTCAGAGATGGCTCCCCTGACTTCCCGCTCAATCCTCATGGTGCTGAGCATGCCCACTGTTGTTCCCCACTGCATGGGCCTCTCCAAGCCCCTTCTTGCAACTTCCCACCCCTGACCAAAGGCCAATCCCATCTGCCCTCCTGGCTCCCCACTGTGCCTAGCTCAGAGTCTGGGCTGTGTCCAAACATAGGCAAGTCTAAGGCCTCTTCTCCCTGGGACTGACTCATAGCACTTTCCTTCCCTTTGTATGATAGTTCATTTTTTGTTTGTTTTATATATATATAATTATATATATATATATATGATAGTAGAGTATATTTGAATTATTATATACACATGGAGTATAACTTATTCTAGTCAGGAGCCCATTCTTGTGGTTGTACATGATGTAGAGTCACACTGGTCATATATTCATATATAAGGATAGGAAAGTTTATTTCCAATTCATTCTACTGTCTTTCATATTTCTATCCCTTCTCCCTTCCCTTCATTTCTCTTTGTCTAATTCAGTGAATGTCTATTCCTCCCCTTTCTACCCTCCTTTGTTGGGTGTTAGCATCCACATATCAGAGAGAACATTTGACCTTTGGCTTTGGGGACTGGCTTATTTCACTTAATGTGATAGTCTCCAGTTCCATCCATTTACCTGCAAATGCCATAATGTCATCCTTCTTTACAGCTGAGTAATATCCCATTGTGTGTATATACCACATTTTCTTTATCCATTCATCTGTTGAAGGGCACCTAGGTTGGTATCATAGCCTGGCTATTGTGAATTGAGCTGCTATAAACATTGATATGGCTCCATCACTGTAATATGGTGATTTTAAGTCCTTTCTATATAAATCGAGGAGTGGGATGACTGGGTCAAATGGTGGTTTCATTCCAAGTTTTCTAAGGAATCTCTGTACTGCTTTTCGGAGAGGTTTCTCCCTCTCCCCCATTAAACTTACTAGCATAAAACAAAAGTCCTGGGCCATCTTCGCCCTGTCTGTGCTTTAGGAATTTGGAGCAGCTTGGCTGGGTCACCTGTGCTGACTCTTTAGGCTGCAGTCAGAAGTGTGCTACTGCTGGTGTCATCAAAAGGCTTGGAGGGGACGGGTGGGTCCACTTTGAAGGTGGTTCAATCAGATGGCTGACAGGTTGGTGCCAGTGTGGGCAGGTGGCCTCAATTTCTCTTCTTGTGGGTGTCTCTGCAGGGCTGCTTGGGCATCCTCACAGCATGGCAGCTAGCTTCCCTCCACACGGCCAAGGCAGAAACTGCAAGGCTTCTATGATTTGATCTTGGAAGTCACTCACTGTCCCATCCACCAACTCCTATTTGTCATAAGAGATGCCTGATTCAGTGTGGCAGGGGGCTGTGCAAGGACACGAAGACTAGTAGGTGGGAATCCCCGGAAGCCATCTGGGTGACTGGCCACCACATCTTATAAAATCACAAACACTAAGACGGCTATGACCCAGGAATGCATTTCCTGACTTTGTCTCTCCCTCAATATGCACGTGGTATACTTAAAGCTTGTTCTAGGAACACAGATATAAACAAAGTCATGAGTCCTTCCCTAGAAAACTTCACGGTCAAGATGAGGAGACAGTCTCACTATGAGAAATGCTAGAGAACAGATATGTACAGAATTATGGGAGCACAAAGGACAGGTCATTGCCAATCCAGAGGAGTATGGAATGCCTTCTCAGCAGAGGGACTATCTGCTCTGAGTATTGAAAGATGAATAGGAGCTCCTTCAGGTGGAGGAAAATTTGAGAATAATGATTCATTTAGCATGAGCCATGGCTGCATAGGAGACTCCAATTGTGAAAAGTCTAAAGGCTATGATAGGAAGCCGGAGTGTACGCATCAGGAACCACTGAGGGGCTTCAAGCCAGAGGAGACCTTGGTGGGCAACACAGGCCTGCAGAAAGTTTGGATAGGTGGCTGCTGCCGTGGTCCTACCACGGGGTGGACTGCCTGAGCTGGAGCCGTGGGGGTGTAAGGCAGGGTACACACAGAAGGTGGGCTGGCAGGATGTGAGATGTTGTCTTGGGAGGTGGGCCAGACAGGGAGGGCTGCATGCCATGACTTACCCTTTCCACCATCTCTTGCCCTGGGGCCTCCTTCCCTGACTCCTGGCTGCCTGCAGACACTTCCTGAGCAGGACAGCCTGTCCTTCTCTGAATAACTTCTGTGCCGACCCCATGAGCCTTCAGTGTTTGCTCCCCTCAATCAAACTCCTCAGTCATCAGGGAGGCCACCGGAAGGCAGGACTATTGATTTAGGGCCGAGAATCCCTGAATGTTTTTGGCCACAGACTTCTTTAAGAATCTATTGAAAGCCATGAACCATCTTCCCAAGGGGGAAAAATTCACATTTGCACAAAAAGTTTGCAAACAATTTCAGAGGGCTCCACCCCCTTGAAGCCCATCCCTAGGTCTCTGGACCCCAAATTAAAAGACCAGGAAGAAATGGGGAAATGCGAGCAAATGTCTGACTCCCCAAACATCTGTTGTTTACTTCCTCGTTCACTGCCCCCACCCCTGTGCATAACTGGGTGACCCTAAAATAGCGAAACTGGAGGCAATGTTTACCCAGGGATGGCCCCTCGTGGCACCAGCCTCACTTGGCGGGTTTATTTCCATTATCTTAGTCATTTTTGAGCTGTAGGCTACAATTTTCACTTGCAGCGAGGTATTAAATTGAAATTACCCTGGATGTAATTGTCATACAGAGTCATCCTGGGCACACGGAAGTGAACACTTGCTCAAGATGGGGGTTGATGACTGACTCTGGGGCTTCAGGGCTCTGCCTCTTTAAGCACGCCAGATCTAGGTGTGTGTGGCAGGAGCTCCGCACAGTGTGGTAGGCAGAGGCTGCAGGCCCAGAACATTCTGCCATGAGGCCTCTGCCACTGAGATCTGCTGGCTGGCATGAGCAGGAGGGCTAGAAGGGCACAAATGCAGGAGCAGAGCCCAAGACTCAGAGTTGAGAGTATGCAGCTGCTACGGACCACAGTGCACTAGCTCAGGTGTGCACCATTTGTTTGCTATATCTGAACTTCCTTTGGCTCTAAGTCCAAGTTCCTCACAAGGCAGCTGAAATCCAGCTCAGTCATTCCAGGTGCTCTCTGCCTCCCCTTAGGGCCAGGTGAGGCCCTGGGACTGACAGGGTGCTAAGTTACTGGGGCGGCCCCACCAGAGGCCAGGCTTCTGTTCCTACCAGTGGCCTCCCTGATGCAGTCCCAGCCCTTTAGGTCTGCTCTGCCCCCAACGGTCTTAAGTGCCTTGCACTTTCCTTCCCAGGTGCACGCTGCTGGTGTATTGCACAGACCTCCCGCCCACCAGCATCATCATCACCTTTCACAACGAGGCCCGCTCCACCCTGCTCAGGACCATCCGCAGGTAAGGCAGCCTCCCGCCCCTTTCTCACCGGCAGTCCACCCTGGCCCCTGCTTGGCAACGCTGTGTCTGCTCACTGGGTCACCTGATAAGAGGACTGGGCCCTTCTGACTACGCACTGGGTCACTTGTGTACCCTGGGAGAGGCCATTGCCCCATTTATGGAGAGAAAGTCAGAGGCCCAAGGTTGGGTAAGTCAAAGAAGCTCATAGAGAGTGAGCAGAGGAACTGGTCCCAGAGCCCTTACCCTTCACCTGTGCCAAACTGCCTCAGGAAGGAGTTCTTATTTTCACAACTGATGGAGAAACTAAGACCCAGAGACGCTAAGAACAAATTCCATTCCCATCACCCAGCTGGGATCAGAACCCAGGTCTGCCAAAGACTGCCCCTCCCTGTACCCCTCTCTCCACAGCCTCCCTCCCACCCACAGGGCAATGGGGGTGTGGATCAGAAAGGCCACAGGTCATCACTTCCTGGCCATCTGCTTTTGATTCCAACTCTGTTGCCCTCTGGCCTTTCTGACTCTAATTGGTCCATCTGCTATGGCTGGCCTGTGGCCTGTGTATGGTTTTTCATGTGGTCAAACCCCTGTGAAAGCCCCAGCAGAACTCCCAGAACAGAGCTGGGACCCAGAAAGCCTGCCCAGGATCCATCCCCAGGTTATCAGAGGACCTTGGTGATTTCAGACCACTTCATACCCTTCCCTGCAGGCAGCTGCCCTACCCTTCCTTACACAGGCCCCCAACAGCATCTGCATTGTAGTTGGCAGAGAGGGCAACTGAGCCCCAGAGCTCAGAGAGGTTCTGCCCCCTCAGGCAGACCTGGGCTCATGGCTGCAGCTGGGGAGGTGGGGAGGCCATTGCTAAGCGCACTTTACAGCCCAGGAAGCTGAGCTCTGGATATCCTAAGGCAAGGTCTGCAACACACGCCCTGGTGGAGCCCATCCCCACGCTCTAGGCGGTGTATCAGATGGTTCCCTGATGCCACAGAGAAGAAATAAGATTAAGTGTGGGCCACAGAGAGCACCAAGCACAGCAAAGTCTCTTGTCACCTCTCTCAAACCAGCCATGCTCCCCCACTCTCCCTGCACACCAGAGGGACCCTGTGCAGGGCAAGTTCCAGGTGAGGGGAAAGGAGCTCAGCATAACTCGCCCTGGAGGGAGGCACCAAGCCTTCAGCTCCGCCTGCCACTGAGTGATGAATGTCCACTGTACAGGATCAGTGCGTCCCTCAGAAACACAGGGAGGGACCTGCCCAGGCATGCAAGAGGCCGCTGTGTCTGTTGCTCACATGTCCTTGGCACTTGATAGCTGTCTGCCTCCAGCAGCCACTGGCTCTGTCCTGGTTTCCACATTCACACCATAGGTCACTGAGTCGAATTTGATTTCCCAGCAAAGAAAGTGTTCGAGGTCACTATTGGATGTCACCACGAGTCTCAATGTAGATTAATAAATTGCCTCGCTGACTTGAATACTGCAGGTGTGGGAGAAACAGGGATGAGGGGCAGCCTGGCATGAGCGGGTCTCCTCTGGTGAGGGGCGAGGAGAGAAGGGAATCTGTAGGCTTTCCAGGCCAAGCAGGTACCCAGTGGAGCAGAGGGGGCTGATTCTGAAGCACTGGGTTTCAGCCCTGCTACCATGTCATCTGCTGGGCACCTGGGCACACTTATGGAGCAAATTCATGAAAGCTCCAGCCTTCCCACTGCCTTGGTGGCTGCTCCAAGGTCATGTCTGGGCATGTCTGCTAGAGGTTTCCATGAGGACACAGCCTTCCAGAGAGGCTCCTGCTTTTCAAGAGTGTGTGTATGTGTGCATGTGAGAGAGAGAGACAGCATGTGCTCACACATACATCGCCAGCAGAGTCTTTCTCTGGGCCCCTTTCTGCACACGACAATTACAGCAACTACTGCACTTTTCCCTCCTGTCATTTTCAGTGATCTCTGTTGGGACAAGGACTATATCTTATTCATCTCTTAGTTAATCTCCCTGTGATTCAGGTTGCTAGCCAAGGAAATGAGAATACTCAGGCTGCCTAGTGCACAGGGTTGCATGAGTTAATTCCGGTAGAGACTGAGAACTGTGCCTGGTGCAGAGTAAGCGCTCCATCACTGTTAGCCAGCCCTCCAGCTGCTCGGCTAGTGAGCTCTCAAAAGAAGCTGTGGGGTACTTAAAGGGCACTTGGACTCAAAAGTCTTGAGTCAAGTCCCTTCCCTACCACCTCCTAGCTCTGTGACCTTGGCAGGTTATGAACCACATATGTAAAAGCGGTGAGGAAAATATTTTGTGGGTTTCAAGTTCTTTAACATTCCTGACAGTAAATTTTTCTCCTGGGATCATCTCAGATACTTGGGGGACATTATAAGATAATCAGGACCAGGGGGCTCCCAAAGCCCCAAAACACTGTGTTTATATTCTCAGGAGCATTTTAGCCGCTGCCCTCAGACCCTTCCTCTTTAGCTCTAACACATCTCTCCTCTTCCTGCTGCTTCTCCATCTCTTTGTAACAGTAAGAAACATTTAATGATTTAACAGGTGACTGCTTCCTGAGCCTTGTGGTCTACAGGAACCATCTCATCTCCCACTTGGCTTGGAGGCTCATGCCGTGCCTGAGCAGGGAATGTGCACAGGGTGAGGAGGCCCACAGACCTAAGGTGGGGAGCAGACAAGCCAGCCCTGAGCTTTCTGAGTTCCCCAGTGGGGCAGCCCCAGCTCTTCTGTGAGCTGGTCTGATGGATGGCTGCCCCATGCCCTGTACCTCACTGTTAGGAAGGGGCTTGGGGCCCACTGACACCATATCTTTCAGAAAGCACCCTAGAAGCTCCAAACCACTTGGTTGAGAGCCATGGGCCATTTTCTGACTCCTTGCAACTTTCAATATGACAGGCCTCAAGCCCCACCCATGTGTGATGCACACAGAGCACAACAGGAACCTGAGAACCATGTGCCAACGGACACGTGCTTACATCATCCGTAGGTTGGGTGGAAAAGAATTTTAGGGTGGGGACAAGGAAGAATATTTCTAGAAACTTCCACGCTTTCAGATTCCCTTCTACCCCTGGTTACAAAAATAAATCACTAGACGCTGAGATGCCATAAACAATACTTCCTATCTTTCTTTTGTCACTGATGGTCCTTTGATGGTCTCTAAGAAAACTTCATCTTTAACTTTCTAGAATTCTGGATGGTTTTGCTGCCAGGCTCTCACAAGGGAACGATGCTCCAGGAACCCAGGGAGAGTAGGATGCCCCCCTCCTCCCTCCCCACTGTGCCTGCTGCTCAGCCCTTGGCTTACTTCTCTCTACCCATCCCTGCCCAGGCCCTCTGGTCCCCTGAGCACTTTTCCTTAGCTGGAGATCTGGGAGGTACAAAGGCGCACATGGGGGGTTCTGAGCCAGGGTGATGGGGGTAGGGTGGAGAGCATCACAGCCTTGAGGAACGAGGGACTTGCCCATTTCAGGAGAGGGAAAACAGGCCCTAAAGAATGCTTTACCTTGACCACTTGTGTTACTCAGCTTTCTATCACTGTACAAAATACCCAAGAAAAATCAGCTTATTTTGGCTCGTGGTTTCAGAGGTTTCAGACTATGGCCACTTGGTCCAGTGGCTATGGCCTATGGCTTTGGCCTTTGACCTGCAGCAGTAGCATGTGGTGGAGGAAGACTATTTGTTTCATGACTGCCAGGAAGCAAAGAGACAGAGGAAGGGGCTGGGGTCTCAATATCCCTTCAAGGGCATGGCCCCTACGGCCCCTAATTTCTTTCCGTTAGGTCCCACCTCCTCCTCAAGTTTCCAATGGCACCATCAGCTGGGGACCAAGCATGCCACACACGAGGCTTTGGGGATGTTTAAGATCCAAACCATAACACTGGTGTTCCAGCCAGTGCTCATGTCTATGTGAGACCCAGGGCTCGTCCCTTCTCCTTGAGGGACCATTCAGCTCTGCACCTCCCATGGGGGTCAGGAGCATGTGTGGTCTATCGCTTTGCATCCTAAATCTTCTCGCTGTTGCTTTTGCTTTTTGGTAATGCCCTAGACCTAGGGGCGTGTGTTCTCAGGTAGAAGTGGTGAGGAATTTGGACTCTAGGGCCAGGTTTGCCTAGCTCGGCCCCAACAACTGCGTGACCCTGGGCAAGCTGCTTAACGGCTCGGCCTCAGTTTCCTTTTTTGCAAAACAGGTACTACTACTAAGAACTCCCGGCATGATTGTGGGGGAGACTGACTAAGTGGGGGTAGATAAAGGACTGGGAGCAACACAGGTGGTGACAGGTGTGACTATGGGTCTCCAATACCAATAGACAGTAGTATTCTAATGCAGTAGCTTTTCAGCATGAGCAGGTGTCAGAAGCTCCTGGAGGGCTTCTTAGAACATGGTTTCTTGGGCTGTAGCCCCAGAGATTCTGACTCAGTCTGGAGTGAGGCCCAAGAATTTGCATTTCTGACAAATCCCCAGGCGGTGGTGATGCTGCTGGCTCAGGGATCAGACTTTGAGAGTCACAGCTGTGCCTCATGCCTATTGCTGTCAGTGGCTTCGGTATTCCTACTCTCAACGCCCACGTTCTGAGAGCAGCTGCTGTGTGCCAGGTTTGGTGCTAGGCTCCTGTCATGCAGCCGCCGGGGGAGCAGCGGGCCTGAAGGCTCAGTCCTGCCTATAGCTCTCCCGCAGGCAAGTGGAACTACACAGACAGAGCACTTGAACCCCAATCTGTCTCACTCCAGAACAACGAGACTCAACTGTCAGCCAGCCTCCGGTCTTCATTCAACTGGTATTTGTGGAGCGTTTGATAAAACCTGCCTGCATATAGCACCGTGGAGTTCATGAAGCAATTTCAAATACATTTCCTCATTTCATACCCACAAAAGCCTGTGAAGTAGGTCAAGTATTAATATCGCCTGCTTTTACAAGGAAAAGGTAATTACAGAAAGAAAGGGAGGCTGGGAGCTGACAGGCGCCTGGTTCAGGACTGCACAGCTGGTGGGAGGGGCCCACCTGGCCTGCCAGCCCACGCTGCCCACTTTGCCCTGCTGCCTCTCGGGGGCTCTGTGGGCCTCACAGTGAGGGCACAGCTGATAGCAGCAAAGAAGGGAGCAGAAGACATAAATGCTGCCCTTTGGCAGAGAGGTGAGCTATACATAGGAGACTGTTCCAGAATAATCCCAGGGAGAAAGTGCATATGCCCCCGTGTGCCAGGGAGGTGAACATTCACTGCCGTGATGAGGTCATGTGAGGAAGGACATGGGGCAGCTGGAACAGGGGTGAGGCCAAGAGCAGCCACCCTAAGCTGGGGAGAACCAGGGACTCTGGCAGAACCGGAGAGAACCTGGCAACCCCCAGGGCTAGGGCTGTGGGGATGAGAGTGGGTATGCAGAAGGGAGGGCACTGAGGACCACCTGGGCCAGGCCACATCCCCTGGGCTGGACTTGACCTTCTTCTCCATCCACTCCAGATGCCCAAAGCACATGCTCATCTAAGGCCCTCTCAGCCTTTAGCCACTTTTAGGGAGACCCCACCATCACTTCAATCTGATTAGAGGAGCAAAGACAAGCCAGGTGTTACCAGGAAATGGTCTAATTAGCACTTACTGCTGACGATTCTTTTTTTTTTTTTTTTTCCTTTTCTGTTTTAAACCCTGGACATTTTTTATTCGCTAATCATCTCTCAGTTCAACCAGCGTAGAGCTGCACGCGATTTACCTTTTGATGTTCACAGAAGAGAACTCTTGAATTTCAAAGAGCCGGCAGGGATTTGGGGGAATCGAATGCAGAAGCTACAGCCGTAATCAAACCTCATTAGAGGTTATTCTTCAAGCGGATTTTTTTCCTTCTGTCTGCCTCCCTTTCCCCTCCCTTTCGCCTGATTAGGGGGCTGGCGGTTGGGTTTGTTGTTTTCTTTGGGACAATCATGGTAAGCGATCTCCTCCCACCACCTCTAGTGGAGGCTGAGGCCTCCTTCCCCTCCTCGTCCCCCACCTTCCCACAGATGGTGACAGTGGGCTCGCGGCTTTGTGTTGGGGTTCCTCTCTGCACCTTACACTAGTTGCCATGGTGAGAATTAAGGCTTCATAAATAAAGGTAGCTCCAGGCAAATTTCCCTTTTCAGGAGCCTCTGCATCCTGCATAGAAAGGGGGGCTGCACCAGAGACAGGCTCAGAGTAGGCAGGCGAGGAGCGATGCTCTTGACCCCTCCTCCAGCGCCCATTCTGGACCCCCTCTCCAACATACATGGGGTCTGAGCTGAGTGGCTTCTGTGGCCCAGGAATGCTTCTGAGAAACCATGAGATTTGGGGGTGTTCAGAAGAGGTACGGGAAGCAGCCATCCCCGGCAGGCTTGAGATCCAGAGTTAATATTAAGCCCAGCTCGTGCCCCTTGAATAGAGATCCACTGCACGGGATGGGTAACAGAAGTCAATTCAATTAAAAAATCATTAATGTTGCACAAAGTAGTAATAATTGCTATCGTTTATCATCGCTTAGTGCCAAATGCTAGGTTAAATGACTTATATACATTTTTTTCCTCTAAGTCTTTTAACAATCCTATGAAGTAGGTACTATTATTATTATTATTATTATTTTCTAGATGGGATATTTTGCTGCACAGAGTAGTAAAGTAATTTGCCCAAGATTGCACAGCTTGTAGAGAGCAGCTGGAAGGTGACACTCATTTCTCCTGTGCTCATCTTTCCATACCCAGTGCTAAGCACCATAGTAGGTATGCATTGAATGGCCCTTAAGCACATGGCTCTGGGCCAAAACCTATGCTGCACTCTGGCAATAGAGAGGACAGGATCCTCCACAAGAATCCTGCCCTGGGATATGATAATCCAGAGGGGACAGTAGGCAGGTGAAGTACAAAACCAACCACCAGGGTCAGGAAGTGATAAAAGCCATAGGAAGCTTTGGATAGAAACAGCTGAGGGATCCCAGAGGAGGAAACAATTAATTTGCTCTAAGTAGATTGGAAAGCTGTTAGAGAGGAAGTGACATTTGAACTGGTCCTGTGGGCAGCATTGGGCCATTTCAAGCAGTTGGAGAAATGCCCCTCTGTGAATGAGGCAGGACATGTTCAGATAGTGGCACTGGGCATGGGACCTGGTGGGAGGCCCTGAGGAGCATGCAGAGAATTTGGGGTGCAGATGGGGGGGAACCACCGTGGACTTTTTGTCTGTTTGTTTGCATTAGTGAGGCAAGTCACTAAAATCATGCAGATTATATCTGCATCTGAAAGCTTGCTGTGTGGCTACAAGGAAGACAGTCTGGGACTGGGGGAGGCTGGGTCATGTCAAGCCTGAAGCAATAAACCAGATAGAAAAGGGTGAACAGGGACAGAGGTGGAAGAGGTGAAAGTGATTTGAGTGACATTTCCAAATAGAACCACCAGTCTCGCTCACTCCTTGGACATGGGTTTGGGGAGACGGTTGCCTGTTGAGGATGGCTCTTTGATTCTGATGTGGGGGGCTTGGTGTGTGGCAGCAGCATTCACTAAGAAAGGGAAGGCAGAATTCCAGCCCTGCTGGCTCACAGATGAGCAGTGTAACTGGACAAGTCCTTTGGTGCCTCTGAGTTTTCACTCTTCCAGTGCAATCATGTCTGTTTTAAAACTGTGGTTCATGTATACATATTGCCACTAGAAGTCATAATGATTTTTCTTCTTTCCTTCTCACAGCGTATTAAACCGCACCCCCATGCATCTGATCCAGGAAATCATATTAGTGGATGACTTCAGCAATGACCGTAAGTAATATAGCTCACTGGCAATGTAGGCATAGTGTCTGGACCCAGCTCCTGTGTAACAGGCAGAAGAGAGTTCACTGATTTTCTGGGTATGGAAGAAAGCCTGGGTGGATAATAAGCATGGGAGACTCCTGGGCTCAAAAAGGAGATAAATCTTACACTTGAGAAACAATTTCTTGGGTTCCCTGATGTCAGTTTTTGAGGATTCAACTAGCTAAACGTATAGATTCTTGAGTAGGTTGGTTGGTGTGTGAGTGTGCATGGGTAAGCATGCATGCACACATATGTGCAAGTGTGTACACATAGGCACTTGTGTTTGTGTGTGCACGTTTGTGCATGCACCATGTGCATGAGCATGTATATTCTGCAAGCACAGGCCCTCTAACCTACATTCTTAGATGTGGGAAAAGACACCAAAACTTCAAAGGCTCAGTGCTAGGACTGAAAGTCCAGAAACCATGACTGTTGTTGGAGGTTCCTGATTCTAATGCTGCATTAATCTGTAAGTCTGAGCTGAAACTGGCAGGCCTTCTCCTTTTCATTCCCTAAGAGGTCTGATGGAGATCTACCCATGGGTGGTTGGGACCCCCCATGGTTTCTCCCATAATCTGCCCATGGCACAGTGAGCAGCTGCCTTTGAACCTTCCAACTCACTGGTCATCACCATTTCCTACCTCATGTCCCCTTAATCTCCTATCAAAGAACTTGGGTCCCACTCAGATGTACACCCTAGATCTACTTTCCCCAAGAAAACATGCTGGGGGTTCCAGACAGCTGCATGTTAAGTTTGAAAGGCCCAATTACTGCACTAGCCCTGTTAGAATTCAGGAATTGTTAATACTGACACCTTCTCCAAGAGCCTTTGTCCCGGTAGCCTGGGTACAGTTCCCTGTAGTCACTGTCATCTAGGCAGAACCACCTCTTCCTGGTGGCAGGGGAAGTTGGGTGACCCCTGGGGACAGCTTCGAGTCTCAGGAGAGTAGAGCCCATCCCCACAGCTGCTAGAAACAGGGCACAGGGAGCCCCTCCCACCACAGGGCTGTCTGTGCACACACTGGAAACCCACACCTGTGAACCGCCCCAGAACTTCTGGGACGCATGTCACAGTGGGCTGCACACAGACCCAGGGCACTAAGACCTGGACTCCCACTTCTGGAACGTGGTGATCATCTTCCCCTTCCCTAGTGAAGAAGAGCTTGAGGTGGGAGAGACATCAGCTCTGCTGGGGGTGCACTGGCACTGAAGCAGGAGAAAGGCCTGCTGTAGGACTCACTTAGGGGTGAATAGTCGAGTGGTTATAGCTGGGCTCAGGAGTTAGACTGCCAGGGCTCAAATCCTCAAGCTGGAACTTACTAGTTCAGCAAATCATTAACCTCATGTGTGTCAGTTTCTTGTCTATTGAAGGAGCTGGCTAGAATGGTACAGAGTTTATATAGGGATTCAGTGTGTTAACACAGCCTCAGTGCTCAGAACAGGACCTAACCCAAAAGAAGCCTGGGAAAGTGTCTTCTGTCACTCATTAGAGTCCAGAGTCAAGCGGAGAGGCCAAGACCAGTAAATGAACACAGCAAAAGCAAAACCAGGACGGTGGGGCTGAGGTATGGAGCTCAGTAGGGAACTGGCAAGCTGAGGAAGTATGGGGCAGCAGGAAGCTCAGGAGTAGGAGCCTAAGACGTGGCCTCTCGCCCAGCCTCACACATTGTCCTATGGCTGGAGGCCTTCCTTCCAAGAGCCATTGTCCGGGTTGCCATTATCGGCTCCCTGTAACAGAAGGGACACTGGCCAATCCCTTCACAAGAGGGTCTCCATAATCTGAAAGCAAAGTCCAAAATCCTCATCTATGCCTGGCCTCCCCACAGTTCTGAACAGACCCAGAGAAGTGTACAGGACTCTGACCTTATCCTTCAGTGGTCTGTAGCCAAGAAACGTCCCTAGGTGACCATGCCAAGATTTCCCACCTAGAATGTTTTCAAGCAAATACGCAGTTGCCACTATGTATGGCCTACACCAGAGAAGCCCAGCTTCAGCTACCTGCCCAGACTGACCACCTTTATAATGACAGCAGTGATCATCAGCCCCATCCAGGAGCACCCTAGTGTCAGGACCAGGCTCAGCATTTCAGGTTGGGGATGGTGAGCAGGGCTGCCTTCCCAGGCGGTCAAGTTCACTCTCACTGGTGGTCGCATCCCTGGGTGCTCACTGGCACAACCTTTGTCTTTGCAGCTGATGACTGCAATCAGCTCATCAGGCTGCCCAAGGTCAAGTGCTTGCGTAACACTGAGCGGCAAGGTAGGTCTGTGGTGTGGGGCAGGGCTGGGGGTCATGGGTCTGTGTCTGGGTGTTCAGGTGATGGAGGGACAGTGGCACCCACCTGATCATTTGTCCCTGATGCAGGTCTGGTCCGCTCCCGGATACGGGGTGCTGATGTTGCTCAGGGCACCACTCTGACATTCCTGGACAGCCACTGTGAGGTGAACAGGGACTGGCTCCAGCCCCTTTTGCACAGGGTCAAAGAGGTGAGTGGGGCCGAGGAGCAGAACTGGGTTTCCTTCCATGCAGTTCTGCTGGGGTCTCTCAAGTTCATTACCTCACATAGGCCTCCACTTCTGAGAGTTGGGCAGGACAGATTGCTGACCCTATTTTTCAGAGGAACTAACTAAGGTAGCGTGGCCTTCTCAGGGTCCCACCTCAGCCAGTAGAGGAGCAAGGATCCAGACGTGTTTGTTTTATCCCACTGTCACCTATAGTAGGTTTCCAGTTAGGGTTCCCAATGGGTGATATGTGACACATTCAACTTCCTGGTCAAGAGAGAACCACTCAGAACTATTTCTACCAAACCAGAAAGTTCCAGAAAGGGAATCCTCAGAAGGGTCTCTTGTAGGAAAAAGCAGCCAAGAATGAGCCAAGCTTCATCACTCAATTTCTGAGGCCTCTCTCCTCCTTCTACTTCTGCAGTACTGTCATCCCGAGGCCCTGCCCAAGCAGGTGGGCAGAGAGACCTGAAGCCCTTGCCTCTGCCCACCCTTAACTGACTCTGGAATTCTATATGTGTCTTTTCTGCCTGTGTCAGTTAATCCTTTGTAAAGTGAAAAAGAGATCCAATTTTTCCCTTAATTATTTTATATTTTAAAAAGTCCACTCACTGCTCTGCCAATCCACAGTCTACTCTTCTGTAGACAGTGGTGCCAGTGACCAGCATTTGCATTTCTCCACACCCTTATCAACTACTGACTCAAATAGAGGGTCTGTGCAGTAGGAGTCGGGTGTCAACATACCCATTTCACAGATGAAGAAACAATCGTGGGGCCTGAAAGTCCTCAGCTGGTACCTCCAGCGCCAGAACCTTGGAGTTGCTTGAACAGCATGTTCCCTATACAAGGATTCTTTCTTACCTTTCATGGTAGCTGCTCCAGTCCTCCCTGCATTGCGCCATGTCAAGGGGCTGAGAGGACTGAGCATGTAAACCGCTCAGGAGAGAACCACGTAGTCCTTACCCACGCCGTTCTTCCCAAGGAGCCAGCTTTGGGGGCCTGCATGCACAAGACCAGCCCGGACTACTTCCCCAGAGATGCAGAGGGCCATCCCCTCAGTATTGTTAGACAGATCCCCTCTGCTGTGATGCAGACAAAGAGGTCTGAGTTGAGCAACACAAAGTTGTAGACTGACCATTCGTTGGGGTAGGGCTTCTCCTGGCACCAAAGGCTCATTCAAATGCACCCTTCCTCTAGCTCTCATTCACAGCTCAGCAGCCTACTTGGCATTCCCTTCGATACAGCTGAGCTGCTCCTTATCCCTGAACTTGCCCCCTGGCATCTCTGAGCAAGCCCTTCCATCCCTGGATGCACTTTGTCTCCTCTCCACAAACCTTCCTGCTGCATGCCCATCTCTCCTCCTCCAGGTGGGAAGCCTGTCCTGACTGCAGGGCCAGCTAGGATCTCTTTGGGCAAAAATTGCTCACTTACTGGGCCCACCGATTCCTCTCTGGGTTCTTTTCTCTATCTACCCTAACAAATGACAAACCTGAAGCAGGGGACCAGCTCTGTCCTTGGGACCACCCTGTGTAACTTCCTGTTTGGAAGTGATAAGAAAGCAGAAGTGCTGGGGTTGGAATTAGGAGTTGAGCAGGTTCACTGCTGGCCCCTAAATTAGCAGACACTTACGGAGCACCTATTTGGGGCAGAGGCCAAAGAACTGGAATGACCCTGTAACAGAAATCCACACCAGCTTTGTAAGCCCCTGCTGTCCTCATTACAGGGCCCACACTGCTTTGCAAGTGACCCCTAGAAAGGAGATGAAACAGGCTAGGGAAAGAGATGTGAACACTCTAGAAACAAGGACATTCTGAGATGTTTGAGCACCTGGATAACGAAGTAGGGAAATCCACTTCTGGCCAGTGACCTTTACCTCCCCCAAAAGGTCTTTCTGCCTGTCAGTTGCTGACATGAATCCAGGGAGGTCCTGCTGCCATTCATGCCTGGAGCTAGGAGGAGATGGAGTGGATAAATAGCAACCAACAAGGGTCAAGGTTGCAGAATCAGAAGGAAGGCTAGAAAACCTAAGGTAGTTAGTGAGGGTGGCCTTGAGACTCTGTTTACAAGGTTTTATACGGAAGAGATGAGGTTCCCAACTTAAATTAAGGTCATATGAAAAAGGAATAGATTTGAAGCCCAGGAACGTGGTATAGTGGGAAATCTCTTGGCCAGGGAGCAGAGGACAGGAGAGAAGAGGCCGGGACCTCTCATTTTCCATTACAAAAGTGACCCACAGCCATTGTAAACATTGGAAAATATGGAACAGTAGGATCAAAACTAATCAGCCGCAATTCTACCATGTGAAGACGTGCAACGTTAGAATTTCTTTCCATTTAGGATCATTTTCTCTTTGCAGAAAGTGTCTTTTATGTAGTTGTAATCATGCTGTATTTATACAATTTTGTATCCTGCTTTTTTTCCCTTACACATAAGCTTTTTCTGAGCAATGACTCTCAGGCAATTTGCCCCTTACCCAGAATGGCAGATGTGTTGTAGTGTCCCCTGAAGAGTCAGGAAATTCATCTCCAAGGAAGAAATGAAGGGCTGGGGTACTGGGCACAAATGAGTGCCCACACTGCTGGCTCTGCCTCACGCCTCAGGAACCTCCTGGCCCTACTTGGCACCCCCTCCCTGTCCCTACCTGGCACCTCTCCCTGTCCCGGCTGGCTGACCATGCACCCTAGAGCACATGATCACTGGGTCCAAGCCCTAATGACATGTCGGGGGGCTGCTGGGCTGGCACGTGGTCAGGGCTCAGACCTGATCCTAGGAGCTCTTTATCCAGAGCTGTGCCCAGGACCCTTAGGGACTGCCGTCACAGCAATGGACTCAGCCCCAGGACCTTTGCCCCTGGACTGCCTCTGTGTATGTGTTATAAAATACATATAACAAGATTTGCCATTTTAACCATCTCCGAGTGGGCAGTTCAATGATGTTCACAGAATTGTACCACACTGAACCACAATCTAATTGCAAAACACGTTCACCACCTCAAAGGGAAGCCTCACACCCATGAGCAAGTAGTCACTCCTCATTTCCCTATTGTCCCTGCCCCTGGCAACCACTAATTTTCTTTCTGTCCCTATGGATTTACCTGTCCTGTACATTTCATATAATTGGAATCAAATGATTTGTGGCCTTTCAATTCTGGCTTCTTTCACTTGACATATATTTAAGCCTCATCTACCATGTAGCATATATCAGTATTCCTTTTCGTGACTAAATAATACTTTGCAGCATGTATAGACCACATTTGGTTTATACATTCATTCATGGATGGACGTTTGGGTTGTTTTTGCTATTGTGTGTGATGAGGCTGTAAACATTCATGTACATGTTTTTGTTTTTCAATTCCTTGGGGTATGTATATGGAGATGTAGAATTATTGAATCACATGGGATTTTGATGTTTCATCAGTAGGGACCTCCGGGCAGACTCTGTTCTTGTAGGATGTGTTAAAGGGACTTTGCTTTCCTGGTTCAGTCTTACTAGCCTTCGAGTCTTCTCCATCCTCATGGCTCTGAGCCCGTCTCAGAAGCCCTTCCTGAAAAATGCTTTCATATATGCATTCGCAGCCAGCGTTCCCTGCTGGTCAGGCCATGCCTCCTTCCTCTTCCCAGATGTAAGTGCTGCCTGCCCCCAGATGCCTGATCACGGGGAGTCATTTGACTATAAGGTTGAGTTCAGCCTCCCAAGCTAAGCTCCTTGGTCCCCACTATCTGAGCTAAAGCTTTCATAGCAAAGAGATTAGTAAGACAAACTCCAGGCTGGATACAGCTCTGCCCCTTGCAGAGCTGTGGTGGCATCATTGGGCTGCAGAGGTTTCCCTGAGACCCTGCCTCTTGATGTCCTCACACTTCCCCTGGGACAGTCCCCTGGGGATGGGGAGTGTGGATGCGAATCTACTTGTGTTTGTACATGTCCCGTGTCTTGGCTCAGCCTAGAACGTCATGTGATCTTATGAGCAGACATGGAAATTTTTAGCTGTAATTGGAGTTTGGGATTTTCAAAAATAGAGATAAGAAAGAGGCGGGGCTTCGCCATCCTCAGCTGGTGTTCCCCACATTGAAAATCTCCCTGACTTTCCTTGTCTTCATTTCAATGACATGATGATATGAAACGAGCACCAAGTTGTTTTGTTTTTGAATAGGGGATTCTTTTCTTCCCCTCCTTATCTACATACTTCTTTGGTAGGAAAATATTTTAAGAAATCTCGATCTCTGTAGCATTCAGTAAATTTACATAAATAATAGCTTACACACTCTTCAACGCCTTCTCACATACTCTCCTCTTTTGCTTCTCACAAGAGCCCTGTTTAAAAGGCAGGATTGTTTTGGAAATAATAATTTGTCTTCGCTTTCTAGATGAAGAAATGGAGTCCCATGGAGCGTGCCAATTTGCTAAGTTCAAACATATTTTAGATGGCAGGGCCAGAATGGGAACCCAGGTGTCCTATCCATTTGTTCCTGCTGCCTAGGTGTCACATCCTTGAGGACCCCTCTCCCGCTTACTGCCCCTCCCTACAGACCAACTTAAAGGCCCCTGGGCTTTGTCTGTGCCCCAAATTGGAATCACCTACTACCTGTCCACCTTCCCTGGACTATGAAGTCTCTCCCTCATCCTGTACCTGCCACCAGGGATGCTGGTGACTACCGAAGGAGGTACCTCTAGAAGCTTTAGATTGCCCATTCACATGTGGTTTTAATTATGTCAATCAATGAAGAAACAGGAGACATGACAGCAGCCATGATTGATGGCTACTGCCTGAGGCATTCAGCCTCTGTCACTGCTCCTGGCAAGGGCCAGGAGAGGAGGGGGTGGGGTGCCTTAGTTTGCTTGGGGGAGGGGGGAAGAGGGACCTGCCTGGGATTCTACCAGCTGCCTACCTGAGCCTAAGCGTGGATGTAGCTGTCAAAGTACAGCCTTCAGAGTACACAGGCCTCCGGTGGGTCCGGGTGTTTGTACTGAGAGTCTGCTTCTCCAGGCATCCAGGAGGCTGTAAATGGCCCACTATCCACATTTGCTGGCACCAACACAGTATCCTCAAGGGAGCTAATAGCCGCCCTCTTGTCGCCAAGGCTGATTGAACACCTGCTGCCCACCAGGCTCTGGGCTGGTGCTGAGGGATCCAACAGCGGAGCAGATGCCAACCCCCCAGGCCACACAGAGAGTTTGTCCTGGCAACCCCTTTTCAAGGTCATGGCTCTGTATAGCACTTTGTCCCAGACAGCCATCACTGCCTGTCTGGTCTCCATGACTCAGCGGAGCAGTTACCATAGCTGAGTTGACAGAAATCACTGGACAGAAACCCTCAAAACCAGTAGGGGAGCACCCCAGAGCCTGTTGCAAGGCTGGAGGCAGAGCCCATGGGTGATTTGGGGGAGTCTGTGGCCAAGGTCAGCAGCCAGCATTTTATTTTACATTTTGGCTTTTAAATATTAAGGACAGTTTTTTTTTTTTTTAAATCAAAACAGGATTATAGTTTGGGGGGTCCCCAAGACTACCATTGGGCTCAGTAATTTGCTAGAAGGACCCAATCGAGGTTATGGTTTATTACAGTGAAAGGATACAGGTTAAAGTGTAATAGGAAGGGGACAGGAGAGGGTTCCAGGCACACGCTCTTATTTGTCCTCTCCCAGGTTTTTCAGGTAACAACCACTTCTCCCAGCAAAGACATGTGGCGGCACTCAGGGGAGTTCACTCACACTGAGTGTGTCCAGGGCTTTTACTGAGTGTTGACCACACAGACATGGCTGACCTCCCTGTGGTCTCCATGCCCCTGCATTGCCCAAGGCCCTCACCCTAAATCGCTCTGTTAGCCTAGTGTTAGCACAGGTGTCCCAAGGCTTCCACGCAAATAATGACACTTTTTAGGCAGGACACTCGAAGTCTTTAGAGGACCAGATGTGTCTGTGGGTGAGTTTACTCCTGTACTGCAGAAGGTTGGCAGGACTCAGTGCAGCTGCAGAGAGCTCAACCCTCAGAGAGCAAAGGTAAAATGAGACTTGGTCGGACTCACAGAAGATGCATCTGAACTCCTAAGGGCATGTTTGAGGGTTTGTGTGTGGGGGGGTGTCTGTGTGTATGTGTCATGTGTATCTACACATAGACGCTGACAGCAGCCCAAGAAGAGCCCCAGAGGACTGTGGCGGCGGGCAGGTGCAGTGCTGGGGGTGAATGAAGCATCTGTGGTGCCAAGAGGTAGAGGCAGCATGTCGACAATGAGCATCTCCTTCCGCGGGGCCCATTGGCTTTCAGAGCGCCTTGTTACTGTCAGAGGGAGCCGCATGTGGGAGGCTCAGGGCCAAATTAAGTCTGTGAACTTAGAATCAGGCACTCAGTGAATCTGAAGCTTGAAATAAGAAGACAACCTCATCTGGGGGAAAAATTGAACCAGGAAATTAAATGGCTTCAAGGAGAAACAGAGGTTCCTGCCTGTGCTGGCCAAAGGGTGATTGCAGAGGAGAGGAAAGCGGTCCTGCCCAGCTCCCCAGACCTGCTGGCTTTCCCAGGCCACTGAATGTCACTGAGTTATCCCCAAGTATCCATGTCACAGCTCTGGCACACTGCCCTTAACCTCAACTTGACCCTGCTGCATACCTGGTGAGGTATCCACTTAGGATTGGGAAGCTTGACAAACATGGTAACCCCAAAGAGCTAGTGACTTTGGCTTGTATATTTTGAAAATATTCCCTGGATGATTTTGATGTGCATAGACAGTGTGGCCTGAAGAAAGCAGCAAGTGATGAGGCTAGAAAACAAAATACAAGGCTTCTTTTTTTTTTTAATTGACACAGTGATTGTACATATTCACAGGTTATTGTGCGATCGTTGGTTACATGCATACAGTGAGTAATGATCAAGCCAGGATAATTAGCATTTCCGTCACCTCTAACATTTATCATTTCTTTGTGTTGAGAACTTTCAAAACCCCCTCAGTTTTTTTTAATATATAATAAATTATTATACACTATGTTCACCTTACTATGCTATAGGGTTTATTCCTCCTTTCTAACTGTATTTTGATACCCACTGTCCCACCTCTCCTGTCCTCCTGGCTCCCCTGCTCTTCCTAGCCTCTAGTGTCTTCATTTTTACTCAGACAAATGTCACATGTCCTCTGTCCTGTGGGAGCAGGCCTGGTTTTGGTGGTCTTGGATGCCATGCTAAGGATTTTATACCTTACCTTAGAGGCGATTAAAGTTTTAGCAGTTTAGCAGTCATATTTAGATGGTGGAAAGATAGCTTTGGCAGCCATATGTGGAACCACAGGAGAGAGGGATTAATGGGATGGGGTGGGGGTTAGGGCCCATTGCTGAGAGGGGATGGAGACTGGCAGGGGAAATCAAAAGAGCCATTTTAGAGTAAGAACCAACAGAACTGGATCTAGTTGATGGACAAGGTGAAGCTTGCTCATTCAGTGCCAGGAGAGAGTGATTCGTGATGATCCAGTAGCAGAAATAGGGAACTTGAGAAGGGAGCATGCATGGGAAGAAGATGGTGAAGCCACCTGTCGAAGAGCAAATGGAGGTGGTCAGCGGCATATGGGTTGGGAGCTAGGAGGGACATTGGGCCTAGAGGCTCAGATTTGTGAGTATCTAGCTACAGGGGACAGCTATTCAGAAGCTGGTCTGGGAACCAAAGGCCTAGGGTGAAAATATCTAGAAGCTCTGAGAGCTTCCCCTGTGGGTGCGTGGCTTTGCTTTCTGAGGCTGGAGGCTGGGGTCACCTTGCCAGCTAACTGAATCCTCTGCCTCCTTGAGCCCCACTGATGGGAGAGGACTTCTGGAACCCCTTCCTCCCGGTGTTCCCCTTCTCTGTGTGCAACACTCCTCAGCCAAGCCCCACCATGCTCCTCCACTATTCTCAGAAGGCCACTGTGACTGACAAGGTCCCCAACAGACAAGGCTAGATTCTCGGCCTCTTATGCATCATAACCAGAGAGGTCACAGTGTCCAGCACCCCCTTCTACAGATGGTGAAGTTGAGACGCAGAGATGCAAGTGATTGCTCAAGGTCATCTTGGGAGGCCCTGTTAGGCTGCCTGACTCCTGGCCCGCTCCTCCCCACAGGCTGGGTGTGGGGGTCTTTTGTTTTACAGGACTACACACGTGTGGTGTGCCCTGTGATTGATATCATTAACCTGGACACCTTCAGCTACATCGAGTCTGCCTCAGAGTTGAGAGGGGGTGAGTGGGGCAGACACCTTCTCCTCCTTGTCGTTGCTTTAAGTGGGAGGGAAGTGAGGGGAAACTTGTTAGTGTCTCTGGAGCACCCCGTCCTGCACCCTATAAGAGAATTCACTCCAGTTTGGCTCTTACTCCTGGAACTGTGAAGGGATGGGCCAGGGGCACGGGCAGGACACCCCCCCACACACACAGCTCTAGCTGCAAGCCAGGGGTCCTCCTGGGGCCTCCCTCAGCTACATGGGATCTCCATGTTGGCACTGCCCTCTACTAGGGATTTTCCACTGCTCTCTGCCCAGGGTCCAGCACTGACCGCCCCCCACCCCAAGACCAACTTCTAGATAATTCAGGTGGTCTATAGGCCTCTTGAAAACCTGCTTACACCTTCCTGGCACTCAAGGCTGAAGGTCACACTCTGTAGCTGTCCATTTTGTCACCCTTGTGTCCTACCCTGGGGTTTTATCCTTTGCTCTTTTTCTCCTAACTCTATCTAGCGGAGAAGCTTCACAAAGCCAGTAGGAGGTATGGCAAGAGAAGGAAGCTGGGAGAGAAAGCTCTGGCAGCCCTGCTATGGGTCAGCACAGAGGAGTTCTGTTGTCCTGGGGACCCACTTCCCCCGGAACCTGAGTGTCTCCCTGAACTTGTGGGAACTAAACTCTGTAGGTGCCTTGAGAGACCAAATCAACAGGGTTGGTGCTGTGTTTTAGGGTTTGACTGGAGCCTGCACTTCCGATGGGAGCAGCTCCCCCCAAAGCAGAAGGCTCAACGCCTGGACCCCACTGAGCCCATCAGGTGAGTAAGAAGGGGCAGCGCAGGGTGGGGTGGGCAGGTTTAGCACCACTTGGTCTTTCCTGATATCCCACTGTACGCAGAGGGGTCCATATTTGATACCCAAAGGGCAGGAATGAAGAGAACCCTCTGCTAGGCCATCTCTACTTCTGCCCTTATTTTGTGAGACTTTTGTCTCCAGGAAACTTCCATTTAAGGGAATGGGTTCTGGTGACCTGTGCTGAGGAGTGGGTGCTGAGCATCGTTCACCCTCACACAGGCCATGATGGCCTCATGCTTCCTGCTTAACTCGAGGATCCAGGATGCCCCCTTAGGGCCAAGGGCCCCCATGTCTTGGCTGTCCACACTCATGGCAGGAAGGCTGAGTGGCTGCAGGCACTAGAAGTGGAGACTGACATCAAGACGTGGCTCCTGCCACGTGTTAATGAGCACATCTGTCCTATTCTTGGTGAGAGAGCACTGTGGTGTGAACTCTAGGCCACTTATGCCATACTGTGGAGGGCTCTGTCCTGCTCTACTTTCTCCTCAGGGTCCCATTGTGACCCACAATGCACCCTGGCAAACTTTCTCCCTGGTGCTCAGTGCTCACACCCTGAGGGTGTGGCATAGAACAGAGCATAGTGATCCATCCCCATGGTCCACTCCTCAGAGGCCTGTGGTCTCTGAGTCAAGCGTGTATGGCCTTGAGGGCCTGCCTGAGACTGGGTGGTAAATGCACCTCAGGCCTCTTGGGACCCTCCAAGCTAAAATAAGTCTGCCTTGGGTCAGGGAGCAGGAAGATAACTGTTTAGAGAACCCTAGAGAAGGCCATGGGGTGGGGATTTCTGTGCCCAGGGACTTAGGGACACCTGGCATTATCCAAGGGCATCTGTGTCTCTGATGCCTGTCACAGTAACTGTTTGAACATCTTTATTGGATTGACATAAGTCAAACCGAGGACTGAAAGGGCTGCAGAAAGCTGAACAGAGTGCTCCAGGCAGATGGGTAGTGACTCCGAGCTCTCCTCTTCCTCCACCTTCAATATCCGGAGTGACGCCAAGAGAGAAATGAGAGCCAGGTGGCACTCTGGACACTGGGAGATGCTTCTCACCAGGCTGAGCACTGAGCAGGCACATCAGCCTCTCAGCTCCTCATCCGTCCTGTGTGAAGGGGGGTGGTCATGGGAAGTGCCTGTCTAGACACCTCAGAGCAGTGGACCAAGTCCAGGAGGAAGCTGGTGCCGCAGCCTGGGTTTTCCCATCTCCCTCTCGCCAGAGGGGTTCTCAGGGTGGTTCTCCTCCTGTGGGATGCCTCTGCTCATCAGACAGGAAGTGTCTCCCGGGAGTAGGCCACTTCTCAGGGAGCAGCAGCCTGTGCCATATCAAAGGTACACCTGGGCTTCCATCTGTTCCCTATCAATTACTTGTTTCATATTGGACTTTCCCTTTACCCTTGGGACCCACTGAATGGGGGACAGGACCATGAAGGCTTACAACCTACACCGGCCGTTTGATCTAACAAACATATCCGAATTCTCTTGGAGTTGCTTGCTTGGATTCTGCTACTCTTGCCTGCCTTCTTATTCAATCCCTTTCCTTTCCAAGGACCTACTGTGACATCTACCTCAGCAATCAAGAGCCAGGAGATTTGGGGTGGGACTCCCTAAAAAGAAAAGAAAAAATGCGGTTATATGAGTTTGGTATGGCTGTAGTAACAAGTCCCACGGATTGGGTGCAGAAATTTATTGTCTCTGGTTCTGGAGACCAGAAGTCTAAAATTGAAGTGGGAGCAGGGTTTGTGCCTTTTGAGGGCTATGTCTCTCTGTGTCTCCACCATGTCTTGTTTTTGTGCATTTTATAAGGACCCCAGTGACATTGGATTAGAGCCCACTCTACTGATCCTATTTTAACTTAATTACCTGTAAGGACCTCCCTCTGAAAACAAAGCACATCTCAGGTACTGGGAGTTAGGACCCCAATATATGCTTCTGGGAAGAGGGAGACAAAATTAATTTAATAAAGGAGTAAGGATGGACCGGGTGTGGTGGCGCATGCCTGTAATCCTAGCAGCTTGGGAGGCGGAGGCAAGAAGGACTGCAAGTTCAAAGACAGCCTCAGCATCCGTGAGGCACTAAATAACTCAGTGAGACCCCGTCTCTAAATAAAATACAAAACAGCTGAGGATGTGGCTCAGTGGTCAAGTGCTCCTGAGTTCAATCCCGGTACTAAATAAATAAATAAATAAATGGAAAATAAGGGAGTGAGCTGGGTTTCAGGAAATGGATGTGCTGCTAACAGGTGCTGCCCCAACCCTTCTCTGCCTGGTCAGTGATCGATGCCCCTGCTCCCAATAATGGAGCCCCAGCAAAGAGCCCCACTGGGCTGCATCTGAGGAAGAGGTTGGTGGGAGCTCTCTAGTCCCACAAGCAGCTGAGGTTCTGAGCAATCCTGGCCTCCATGGGAACGGTGCTGGTAAACAAAGTTACTTGTCTGCAAGGAGAGATTTACAATCAGAGTGCAAAACTCTAGAGCAGGTTTTTGTTTTGGAAAACTGGACAAGGTGTTGACCATTCTGAAGAGGAACAGAAATGGGAAGCAAATGGCCTTGAGTTTTGGGTACCCAGGGCACAGAGTGTCTCCTCCTTTCCTGATCCCCCCTCTTTCCTTCCGAATACACAGGACTCCCATCATAGCTGGAGGGCTCTTCGTGATTGACAAAGGCTGGTTCAATTACCTGGGGAAATACGACATGGATATGGACATCTGGGGTGGGGAGAACTTTGGTGAGTTCCCACCCTGTGCATTCTTACCTATACCGTTCTCCATTGCATCCATCCTGAGAGCTGAGGAGGGGAGCTCTGGGTTCTTGGGCCTAGCGTGGAGCTGATCTGTCACACATGCTGGGATCAGAGCCTGGGAGAGGGTAAGCAAGTCACTCCTTGGGGGAAGGCTGGATGATGCACCAGAGCAGTGATTGTTGGAGGGCAGCCACAGGATGATGGGGGGGAAACATGCCAGGGAGACTCTTGGGGGGATGGTGAAGGGCAAAGGCCAGGAAGGCCACCGGGGAACACCAGGTCCCAGGGGCCAGACCCAGGCTCAAACTAGGAGCACTGAACTTGGGAATTTGGTGTTAGAAGAAGATTGAAGAGAAAGAGAATGAGGAATAGGAAAGCGAGTAACATTCCTTCACCTCCATTAACCTCCCTTGGCACCCTTGAGTATAACACGCAGCATTGTGTGAACGAAGAGGGTCTATCATAATTGACATGGAAACCCTGGGGGCATCTTGCCCTTATCTTTTAGTGGGAGAGGGAAGGGTGAGGAGAGGGGCTCATTACAGGGCCCCAAACCCTGCACACAGATGGCCCAGATCTGGTCACAGTGGTGTAGGGCTGAGGTTGGCAGCTACAGGAGAAGTAGCATGGTCAGAAAGCCCCATGCCATCTAGCTGATGACCCCAAGTGACCCTCATTTCCCTCCTGTATTAAAAGTATGACTTTGGGATAAGGATCCAATTTCTTGGGGTTGTGAAAACCCAGTGAGGTGAGTGTGTGAAAATCATGGCACCTGGTGGGCGTAACAAGTGTGTCTCCTTCCAGCAGTGACACTTTAGGGGATCCCCCGAATGTAAGCTGCTCAAGGGCAGGGACCTGCTCTGTTTTGTTCATGGCCATCTCCAGCACTTAGTAAATGTGGCACTGGCCACTCAGGAGGCCCCTAGAAACTACTGAACAAACCAACCCTGGTAGAGGGGAGCATGTTCGGCACGGGCCCTTGGAGCAGTGTGCAGGCCGAGAGGGATCCTCGGGGCTCATCTTGGCCCTCCGCAGTAATCCCGGGCATTGTCCACTGCTACTGTTGTCTCCTGCTCCTGCCCCTGGAGTGTTTTACAGCTTTCTTCCTCAGTCACTAAGAGTTATTTCCTGGAAATTTATGGCTCCTGGCCTGACCCACAGCATCTGTTCTCCCAAACTGGGCAGCGGAGAAAAAAATCTATCAGAAAAGTTGGTCTCCTGCCAGACAAGGGCCAGGCTGGAAGCACAACAAACAAAACAGAAAACCCCAACACTGGCCAGCCATATGGAATTCCCCTGTGGGACCTGTCCTTGAAGGCCTCAGATAGTGCAATAGGATCATGGCTGTGTTGGTGTGGGGATCAGGGCTGGGTCAAGCTGCACCAACCCTCCCACCCCGACCCCCCACTGGGAACTTGGGGCCAGGTAGATCCCTTGGTGTTCTCAATGGGGCAGGGCTTTCTGTCTTACTAGGCAGAGTTGATGGTATGTCCTGATGCTTGACCTATCCCTTATTTAGTAATGAGTTCCAGCCTTTCTCCCCATAGGCAAGTGCATCCTCCCTGGAATACTTTTGACGGACAGCCATTCTCTACTATCTGCTCCAATGCTGCTTGTAATGTGGCATTCACTGTTTCACAGTTCAGCACATTCTGTGTTGAGATTTTTGTGTGTGTGTGTAGAATTGTTAGAAAATTCGTTGAAGCCCGGCCTCCTCCCAGCTTGTCTGTTGGGGTTTGTTCTGCCCTCTTGAACCGCACTAGGTGAGCAGTCGCATTTGGATGTAGACAGCATGTTATTTTCAACGATGGCACATTCTGGTCCAACTTACTAGTACCTTTCCTTTATAGCAGCGTTAACACACATCTGCTCAAATCAAGAAGCAATCTCATCTAGCCGACTTCCGCATCATTTGGCATTAACAAGGACTGATTTGAATAAAGAAGTTGGGAAGGGGTCCTGGGGAGGTGTGGGAGAGACAGTTTAGCATCCATCACAAAAATTTTAAAGCACAGAAAAAGCTCTGCAGACAGCCATCGCAGGAGACTCTCTGTTTTCTCACACCTGAACATTCCATTATGCTATAGCCAGCTTATAGCACTTTGAAAGCCATTTCTGGATTTTTTTTAAAAAAAGCATTTCATGTGCCAGAAAATGCAGTGCTTTTTCAAGGGACAGCATAACACCTGCAGGTGGGGATTACAAGGCACCCGAGTATGCAAAGGTGGGAATTTGAAAGTGGGTCCATGTGATGATCAGGGATTGGGACAGGGTACATGAGCCATGCTTCAGTGACAAAAAAGAGATGCTGTGCAGAAGCAAAGGAGCTTGCCTGTCAGAGTAATGGGACCCTGGATCCCTGAATGAGGCAGAAGGGGCCGCCTCACCCCACAAGTTCCCAAGTCCTCAAGATATATTTCCTTTGCAGCCCCTCACACCTATTCTCTTTTTTCTGTCCCCAACAATCCTCTCCCGGTGATGCTCCACCTCTGTCTCATGCCTGTCAAATCTGTCCTCCCTTGTTACTGCAAAAATGCTCTCTCTGAGATGCAAACTTCCTAGTCCTGGGGCCACAGTGACTCCCTCTGGTCCTAAAGAGGAAGCCCACACTCACTCCTCCCCTGGGGCCTTGCTTACCTCTCCAGCCTCTCCTCCCTCCAGCCTTGGGTCCAGAGGTACTGACAGAGCCTCCTGCCCATCTCAGAATATTCCCCAGACTTCTACATGACTGCACCTCCCTTCTTCACCAATTGCTGATACCCTGCAGAAGGCAGCTCTGGAGCAGCCTCCTCTGTGAGTGACATGGGTACCTTCCTCAGTCTCTCTCTTGCTCATCCCCTCCCTTACTCTGTATCCCTCAGCACCACTTCAGGGTGCTGAGCCTGCCACCCTGTCCTACGTCCTGCCAAGCCAGGAGCTCCTTAAAGGCAAGAACATGTATCCAACTCCCCATTCTTGAGACCCAGAACAGTAGGAACTGACCAATGTCTGTGCAAGAAGCAACAGACCCAATAAGGAAATTCAAGGAGGGAAGGGCAGTGTAGACACAGTCGCCCCTTGGTGACTGCAGGGGGACTCCTTCCAGGACCACTCAACGCAACGAAATCTGCAGATATCAAGTCCCTCGTATAAAATGGTATAGTATTTTCATATAACCTACACACACAGCACCCTGTGTGCTTTAAATCATCTCTCAATTACTTATAATTAATACCATGTAAGTGCTATGTAAATAATTGCTCTTTATGGTTTAGGGAATAATGACAAGGAAAAGGAGTTCAGACGTGTTCAGTACAGATTGCAATTCTTTTTTGAACATTTCAGTAAAAATAATAAACCACAGTTGAATTCATGGATGAGGAACCCCACCGATATGGAGGGCTGACTGGAATATACGAGGTGCCATTTAAAATGGGTCTCACTGCATAAACGGAGCCATGCTTAAGGGTCCCCTTAAAACATGAAAATAATAAGAGCAGGCAGGAGCAGTTTTCCTTAACAGGAAACAGAATTTCTGTGTCTTCTAGATATGTTTGTATGTGCTGGGTTCACATTATTTCACAGCCCAGAAATACATGAAGATATTGGCCCCGGCAACCTTGACCTTGCTCAATCACAAGCTGCCCTTGCCCCTCCCATCTCACTTTTCATAGGTTCCAAGTAGTCACTGGTGGAGGGTGGAGTGGCTGCAGGGGCCCTGGGAAGGCTAGGCCGGGTCCTACCCGACCCCCACAAACGCTCACACCCTCTGACCCTGGTGCCACCGTTCCCACCAAGTATTTCTAAAATAAGCTGAAGAGTTTTGATAATTATATCCACAGTTTAGGATATGAGTAGGCTTTAGGGAAATGTGGCTTTTAAACTTTTTTTTTTCCCCAGAAGTTGATTTGCATTAAAATTGGATGCTTAAGCTCTCATTTGCATAACACAGGATCCATGTAATATATCTACTTACTTTGAGCTGCATCTTACTTTTAGCTTTTGGTTTTTAGAGATAAAGGGAATCTATTGCCCAATAAGAAGTGTGTGTGAGTGTGTGCATGAGTGTGAGTGTGTGTACACGCATGTGTGTGTGTGGGGGTGGGGTGGGGGTACACATTTCCGAAAAAGGAGGCTTTGGCACACACAGGAAGGGAGAATATGGGATTCCTGAATTTAGAATGAGGGATTTCCAAAGCACAGCAGGCACAAAAGACAGAGCTGGAAAGAGAGAGAAGAGGTGGGGCCCAGAAAGGACTTGCCACCACCCACCAGCCCCAGAATATAGTCTGGAATACCAGGCTATTCTGGGCTTGGTGTGTGCGTGAGTATTTGTGGAAGAAGGGGGGCTGTGGAATCAGACAAGACTACGTTTGAATCCCTCCCATAGTCCTCACTAAGTTCCCTCATTTCCAAGTCTTTAAAAAGGAGACAATGATCCCCTGGGAGGGAGAACAGGCCCCCAAAGACATGCACACCCTAATCCCTGGAACCTGGCAGGATGTTACCTTTCATGGCAAAAGGGTCTGCACATTGGATTAAAGTCACTAATAAGTGGCCTGAAGATAGGGACTTAGGCAGGTGGGTCCTGTCTCATCACAGGAGCCCATAAAAGCAGAGAACAGTCTTAGGCTAGAAGCAGAACAGAAGTGACAGAAGTCAGAGACTTGGAGCTCAAGAGGCATTTGACCACCTCTGCCAGTTTAAAGAAGGAGGGGGCAACATGGAAGTGGCCCAGAGAGACCCCAGGCCAGCCATCTGCAAGGAAAAGGGAACCCCTGTACTACAGTGCCAAGAACTAAGTTCCACAAACAACCTGAAAGAGCTTGAATGTGGACTCTCCTTCAGAGCCTCAGAAGGAAGCACAGTCCTGCTGATGCCTTGATTTCAGCTGCGTAGACCCTGAGCAGAGGATCCATCTAAACCCACCCACCAACTTCGTGGTAATGCATTATTGGCAGTTCTAGAAAACTACCAGAGTCCCCATATCACAGGGCTGTTGTGAA